CAAGGTTTGTATAAAATTAATTTGATAAATTATAATTTAGCTCAGCCCTCCCGCGTTGAGGGCATGCTCTTGAGTGTGACCCTGCCTGAAAGCCGTTCCACTTCTCCTTGTTAGTAGGAATACTTGCGGACTTCTTCTCAAGAAAAGTTTATTAGCGATTTTTCACCAAAGTAGGCATGTGCCTGTGTGGTGTTTTAATGGATACTGAATTTAGGAAGTAATTGACGAAGGAGGAAAAGAATACTTCTTACGAGCGATTCAAGTATGCAGTCAGGTGTTCAACACGCTCACTGAAAGCATTCAGGTTACTTTTGACCCCAATTCTCCAGTTATCAATTAATCGCAACACCCCCAGCAGAAGTCGTGTCGAAGAATCTATTCAGTGGGTGGGATAGAGCAGCCCACGAGTAGCACAGAGTGCCGCTATCCCGGCTCGAAAGTAGCGACAATGGCGCTAGGGTCTGGAGTCACATTTGGCGACTAGTCTTAGCATTTGGACGAGTTTCTTCGCGCAAATCCCATGACGCACCGCATGAATTCCGGTAGCGGCTAACACAAATACAGTAGCGGTCAAAAGTGTTCGCCGAAACGTTTTTCGTGCTTCTCTTTTTTGCCAGAAAAAATCAATGGTGGCCTCGAAAATTTTTTCTTTTGAATATCCTGATTCTTTAAGACTTGAGGATATAAAAACACTAGAAAACATAGTATATCAATCTTTGGAGGGCGTTGCTCAAGTAATGCACTAGAAACCGTTTCGGCGAACACTTTTGACCGCTACTGTACGCGCGGGTTAAATGAGCCCTGGAGCAGGCAAGTTCAAAAGTCGCCGAGAGGAAATTTTTGGCTCTGGGCTTCATCGACGGTTTTCTTTGCTTCTTTTTTCATTTTAGTCAATTCGGCATCCACAACTTCATTATCAACCGCTGTGACCCACAAATTCGATCTGGGGGTGTTGCTTCGAGCAAACAATTTGATCCAGTACCAACCCATAAAAGTCGCTTATTATTTCAATTGGAAAATGATAATTGGAATCATCTATAGACAAATTCTGCTCTCAATATTGTTTAATCATCTTTCGTTTTGACTGCACTTGTTCATCTATTTTGTGTTACATCTTGAGTGAAAGAGCGAACACTAGTGGTCAAACTTGGATTACTTCAGCTTTAGCTTTGTCTTTGGAACTATGACTTTGAAAGTTAGGCTATGTGCTTCAGGGGCCATGCGTTGGCAATCAGATGACGTTGGCGAATTCACGTCTCTGGGATGCCATCAACGGTTTCTTCTTCCTGTTCGCCCATATGATGGAGAAGTTATACAAGAACTCCACCCAACTCGAATTGTTGCGAGAATTCTTGAATCTCCAAAAGGATATGATTGTTTTGATGCTCTCCATGCTTGAAGGTATACCAGCTTGTTTTTCTCATACTTGGGTTTTTCAAAAATAAACCGTTTCAGGAAATGTTCTCAATGGGCCAATCGGAAAACAAATGGTTGATGCGTTGGTCGAATCACAACCGTCTGTCGAGAAGATTCTCAAATTCTCAGACATGTTCCTGAAGCTGAAAGACCTGACAACATCGCAAGCATTCCAGGTAATTCCCCATTTGAAGAATGACCTTCGGAGGTGCACTTTAACAACCATATAAAACCTTCTCGTGTTGATTTTGGCGCTTCGAACGGCGAAAATCGCGATGCTTCGGCCATCCATTTTGTTAGTAAGCATTTGAGAATAGTTCACTGATGATTGCTCTCTTCTAGGACTTCGACACCAATCGAGATGGATGGATCAGTCCAAAGGAATTCCAGCGTGCCATGGAAAGTCAGAAGATGTACACAGTGTGAGTTCATAATTACAAAATTACACTATCAATCAGCCACATTCGACCTTTTAAAGCGCAATCCCTGAATGTTGTGCAATGAATGTTGTGCAATGATGCAATGTTGCGCGTTTGAGGATTATTACCAATTTTATTTCCATTGCCTGGGCTAACAGACTGATATGGATAAAACGAAATAATTTCCTTCTTTCATTATCAAACGAGAAAACAGTGTTTACCACGCATATAATATACGCTGAAGACAAGCGGCGCCTAGCGCTCTTTAGTGAATAGAGCGGCATCGTACTAGTATTTGTGTGAAATTCATTTCTCAACATGCAACTTCGGAAGCTCTAGCCACACCATGTGTTTTTTCTACGAGAAGTAAAGCCCAAGCCTCATGCTACACAGTCTGCAGGGACTGCATTGTGAGGTGTTTCAATGGGTTTGAAAATGTCTCTTATCTATTCGAATTCCAGCGAGGACATCACGTATTTGATGATGTGCACAGGACGTGAACAACGACGGCAAAGTGGATTACATGGAATTCACAGAGAGATTCCATAATCCGGCTCGAGATATCGGTTTCAATCTAGCTGTACTGCTAACGAAATCTCAAAGAACACATCACGAACGACCCACGACTGGAAAAGATTATTGAAAAGGTAGGGCTCAAAAGAGTTGAGTTTAGCAGCAGTTGACATTCTTAGCGTGTTGGGTACGACCTATGGTTCCGTTCATACCTCGACGTTCTCAGTAAGCTCCGTATAGCATCGAATGCAGTTCCCAGCGTCTTGACCGTCAACCGTCCGTTGGGAAAATACCATCGAGGGGATGTATTCTGTGAAGAGCTGGGCCGTATTTTTGGATAGACATGGTAAGAGGTGGATTCTCTGAAAGCTCGTAGTTTCCGCTTGACGTGTTTCTAATGATTTGGAGATGGGGTTTTACGCTTATTAGAAGGTGACAGGATAAAATACTGTAGAAACAGCTTGATATTGTTGGGATGATTAGGGAGGCGATCGAATGAGAGCCCTTCTCAGTGAAAGGGGTCGTGCTACCTCACTATCTTTCCCAGTGGCCGATCCTGTCACTGATGCTTGTCAGAGTCATCCAGTATTCATGAGGTAGGTCGCACTCTATTGTTGAATTA